GAATAGGATCCTATTCAAGAACCTATAGGATCCTATTCAAGGTCCTATAGGATCCTATTCAAGATCCTATTCAAGATCCTATAGAATCCTATTCAAGATCCTATAAAATCCTATTCAAGATCCTATTGGATCCTAATCAAGATCCTATTTTTTGTAGGATCCTGCTCAATATCCTATAGGATATTCAAGATCCTATTCAAGATCCTATTGGATCCTAATCAAGATCCTATTTTTTGTAGGATCCTGCTCAATATCCTATAGGATCCTGTCCAAGATCCTACATGATCCTGTCCAAGATCCTATAGGATCCTGTTAAAGATCCTACAAGATCCTGTTCAATGTCCTATAGGATCCTATTCAAGATCCTATAGGATCCTATAGGATCCTGTAGGATCTTATTCAAGATCCTACAGGATCCTGTTCAAGATCCTATAGGATCCGGTTTAAGATCCTACAGGATCCTATAAGATCCTGCAGGATCCTGAATAGGATCCTAAACAGGATCCTGTACAAGATCTTGGTTAGGATCCTTTAGGATCCTAAACACGATCCTGCTAAGGATTTGCACCAGGGATTAGGTTCAGCTCAAGTGAAGTTCAATGTTTGACCTTAACCTAACATTACTATCAAGGTGATTTTATCAAACCTTTTAGTACACTAACAAAACTTGATTCTGATTACTTGATTCTTATTTTTGAAAGTGGTACATTAGAGCCCTTACTGTACTCCATAGGAGTATACATGTATGTAATCTGCCATGTGGGAAACATGCAATAATTCTATTTTAAAAACTTTTGTTGAGTGTACTATAATCAATTACAAATATCACACAACCTTCTCATTACATATTGTATTATATATTCCTAAAGGGTAATGCAATTACAAAATTTTTCTTTCCAGACTCTTTGTGCAATTTCCTAAATATAATTCAGCCGATGTAACATGCAAGACCAAATCCACTTTGATTCAGCACATATAATTTAATGGTTCAAAAAGGATTTGTTTTTCTGTAAAAGGAGCATAAAATTAGTGACTACTTCCTTATAAGGAATCAAATGCATGACACAGATCAAATTCAGACTCAATATGTATGTGTCTTAACATATTTTCTTTCTTCTAATCATCGAATTTCACTACATTAGAAAATTCTTCGTTCAATATAATTTAAAAACTATTTTATGGAGTTAAAACTTAAAATATTGGGATCATTTCACAAAATACCAATTTTAACTTGCTAATTTTAAAAGCTTACAGCCAGAAAGAAAAATCAAGCTTGTACAATGAATGAATTCTTGGAAAGATTTATTTTTTAGGCATATTATCTATTTCGTACATCTCTCAAGGACATAATAATATAAAATAATTGTGATTTTTTACAGAAAGTCAAATAAAATTATAAGTTTACACGTCGACTGAATTCAATACAATGGAAGCAAAGTTGGAGATTTTGCAATCAATGTGTTACAAAAACTTACTCACCATTTCGATGGTTCTTCAAAATAACTGTATTTTTCGCTTAAGAAACTACCTTACTCTCTTAAAAGGTCATCACTTGTTATATTCCTTTCTAAATTAGTGAAAAACCAAGGAAAAATCTTAAACGCAAACGGCGTGGATGGTTGGATCACGCCAATGCATCTGTATGGATTTATCGTTCAACTTCTTCAACGATAACGCCTTTTCTAGACTCCTTACTTCGATAGTTTTAACCAATAAAGACTATGTAATAAATAAAAGGGCTATACCCGATAAACTAAAGGCCTATTTGTGTTCCTTTTTCACAATTTTTCACAGGAAAAAAAGTTAGAAAGATTATAACGTCAATGAAATCATTTCCTCGCGGGCTCATAAGTCGACAGCGGTATTATATGTAATTATGATGTCATGATCATTCAAATTTATTCATTTACATTTTTTTTTTTTTTTTTTTTTTTGCATTCTTTCATGTAAATTTTACGATTTTTCGCATAATTCTTATATTTAGCAAAAACTCCTGGTGAGAAATTAAATCAATTTAAGTCATTGTTAATAAAATGACTTCCTTCTTTCCTTTATAATCTCTTCCCTCGTCATTACATACATAATCTTATTTTGCTTCGGATTTGGGAGAGTAGCATACAAGATGCTAGTATGTTTGAATAAAGTATATGAAATAAATATGTTAATAATAAATTAAAGTTGATACACAGCTATTTCAAAAAGGTTGAATACTGAATACTGCATACTGAATAGTGCATTCCAAAGACCAAAGGTACGAAGGGCATTGTGGGTCTCGTTAATTTGAAATTAATAATATATATATACAGCAATAGACCCGTTTCGAATTCCAAATTACCGCTGTGTTTCTTGATTACAGACTCACTTGCACAGGGTTAGCCTCGAGTTTGTGCAGAATATTCACGTGTTCCAGTCAAGGTACGTCGAGTTTCAAAATCATATCAAACAATTGTTGTCATTCGCGGGCTTCCTGTGGTGACAAACCACGCTCCCCTCCCCTACACAATTTCCAGTCTTTTTTCGGCCCAAACCAAGATGGCTGACTAGTTAGTGATGTTTTCACTCGATTTACTGTAAATTTGAGCAGTTTTGAGCAAGAAATTCGCCTATTTATTGAAGAAAATTATATTCCAATTTCCTAATATGGTAAGTACATTCCATATATGGTAAAAGAAACAGCTCGAGCGGAACGACAACTTTTCTATGTGGAAAGTTTGATATGGTTTGTATTGTTGAAGTTGCGCATTCTTTCCTTTTCTGTTGGTATTTGTGAATATTTAAACACTGATACTAGGCTAACCTTGTCTGTAATCAAGGAACAGCGGTAATTTGGAATTCGAAACTGGTCTATTAACTTTCTACATGTAGTTAGTATATTGTTTCAGATTGAATACACTTAAATAGTTAGTGGGTTGCCTGTTGCAGCCTAGCCGTAGAATCCCTTTGAATTGTTTTTGCCTTCTCCATCTCTCGAAAAGTGCATTCTTGCACAGGAATATCCAATTATGAATTTGAATGACGTGTTCATAGATTAATAGGCACCTTAAGCTGCAGGACGGCAACACGGGAGACCACAAACCTCGCTACTACGTACTCCTTCACACGCCTCAGAGGGACGCCTTCTGTCGATATAATTTCTAAAAAAAGCTTACTTTGGTGCCCTTTTGAGTGTTGTGATCTTTGTAAGACTTGGTACTCCGCACTCCTTCACACGCTTTAGAGGGACGCCTTCTGTCCATGTAATTTATAATATAAGCTTACTTTGGTGTCCTCTTGACTGTTGTGATCTTTGTAAAACTCGATCGCTACTCCGCACTCCTTCACACGCTTCAGAAGGACGCCTTCTGTAGATGCGAATTTCTAAAATTCAATTCCTGGTGGTAAAACGCCTTCATCTTATTTTAAATCATTTTTACTTATCAGTTTTTACTTATGATTTTTTAATTTTTTAAATTTTTATTTAATTTAATAATGCTAGCGCTATTCACGCTGATGTTCTTCTTCTTTTTTTTTAATCAAAAAAGAAAAACGGAAAAACGGAAAAAAGGAGCTAGCAAAAGCGTGAGTAGGTATAAAGTTCAGGTCACCCATCTAAGGTTAACCCTCTTCATGAGCTTGACTCAGTATCTTGAACGACAACGATTTATCCACCGGACCACGGTTCCAGGTGAATCAGCATAACAATAGCCGTGAAAACAATGCACCGAATAGACTAGACTTTTTAACAGTATTTTTTCAACCGATTCCGTGCGTGGCAGATGCAAGGGATTAGCCGATATGGTCTGGGGGCCGGCTGGTCTCTCCCCTGATGCTTCGGCTAGAACATTTTCTTGCGTAATTCGTGCACCCAAGGGCAGAAGGATTTAATTGCCGTCAGGTCCGAAGTCCATACGACGCCTCAGCTCTGCGGATGTCTCGGGGGTATGGCACCATTGAATCGGGTTTTTTTTTCCTTTTTTTTCTTTTGGTGGGTTCGAACGCCATTGTATCCAGATATATATACGCTAAAACTTTTTTTTAAATCATGCAATTTAGTAATATCTTTTCAGAAAGCTAGATTGACTGCCCATTCGTTTTTGCGCATTATTCAGAGTTAATAGATCATTTTCTCAAGGTATTCACAAACGTTTTTTGAAATAGCTGTATACACTTATTTCAATAAAGTTTGTCACCAAAAACCTAGAAAACTGAGATCACTGAGAATCACCATGGGAAACAATTCATTTTAAACAAGTAACGCTTTTTTGATACAAACTGCAGCTTGAGGATGCTCAGGAAAGGTGAGACTATAACTAGTAAAAGATGAGCAAGTCCATCACCAGTTATCATGCGGTTGAAAGATGTAAAATGTATCTACCCATAACTTGTCGGCCTCAGCTTTGTGGCTTTTCAGGTGACTAACTTTATTGAAAAAAATTGACAAAAATTTCAATAAAATCATTGAAACGTGAAAGAGCGAAAGAAGTGCTATTTCACGTTTCAATGACTTTATTGAAACTTTTGATGAATCCCCATACGTTTCCTTATAACATGACACCACAGAAACCATGCTTGGGCTACCTGTGCTTCATAAAATGCAGTAAAATGTAAGAATACATAAAATTCATGAGCCTCGACTGTTTCGTGGTCATCGCTCAAGCGGGGAAGGTCTATCTGTTGAGATTTCGGGACATAGCAATGGTAACTAAGGGGAGGTGGAAACATGAATCACAGTTGACTTCTTGTACATACCATGAATGGCCACCGGGCAGCGCTTGCAAAACAAAAGTGACCAGCAAAGACCAGTCGTGTAATAAAAAGTTGAAGGCCGTAGAGAATTTAGCAAGTACATTGTAGGGATCGGTCCGCTGACTGTGTCAGTGAGTACTCGGCCATTAACTTTCCTTGGGTTAACGTGGAATCAAGTGTCGTGCCACGACCGACACTCGAACAAGTGGTGACTAATATCCGAAAAAAATGAGTAAATTCTTTTTACTTTGCTTCGCCTTATCGGGAATATTACATATGCTTTTTATTTTATTTTCTTTGACGTATAAATGGAGCGATGTTGTTCTTGTTTCACCGGTAGCCATCAAACCAAATGTATCTGAAAGCCAAGAGACTGAGGGAGCTAAAAACAAGATTTCTTCACTACCAAGGTTGAAATTGGTGGTAGCTATTTTGTCTGCTCCTAAACGGATGGACAGACGCACAGGCATAAGACTCACGTGGATGAATGATTGCAGCCGGAAAGACGTTCTCTGTAGATTCTTTACAGATCAGTTGACAAGTATAGAGCCTCAAGTCAAGACTGCGATAGTCAAGGAAAAGCTGACACATGGTGACATTGAATTCATGCCAATAGCAGGAGGAATGAACTTTGGGTTAAGGATGCTATGGCTTATGGAATGGTCTGTTCAAAATTATGATTTTGACTTCTTTTTACGGATAGATGATGACTATTTTTTGTGTTTGAGGAAGTTGTTGGGTGAGATACCACGTCGAGTGCATGTCCCTAGGTAAGTTTGATTCACATATTTACCATTTGAAGTTTTAGAATCACGAACCGCGAGGTAATTTCAAGTTGATCCAAAATTCATTGATTTCGTTTTCATTTTTGCTGTTTCCATATCGAATTGGTGTAGTTGTCATTAAGGCCCCGTCCACACGTATCCGGAAATTTTTGTATCCGCCAAAATTTTTTTGCGGATACGAAAATGTTTGCGTCCACACGCAGCGTATTCGAATCGTTTTCACCGTCCACACGTGTCCGTTTTCGTAGAATTTGCGGATACGGTCACAAAAATTCCCGGGCACATGTTGGCGCAACCCGTATCCGTAAAAAAAATTTGCGGATACAAGAATTTCCGGATACGTGTGGACGGGGCCTAATTCTAGATTTTTTTTAGCAAGTTGAAATTACTGAATGGAAGGAAAACCAATTCACGAATTTCAATTTATGGTTGAAGTATTATTGTTATTATTTTGACATTTCTTGTAATCAAATCTCAACCTTTAGGAAAAAATTGAAAGCCGTTAAGCTTCACGACAAAACTCACAAGTCTAATCACTCGTCAAAATCAAATTAAGAAAATTTTACGACTGAGAGAATGCATGCGTTATCAAATACGATAATGGTACTCAGTTAAATATGATATTGGATTTTTAAACGACAATGAAGAGATCAAAGAGCAAAATACTTGAAGTTATATTCTATCGAATTCCTTATGGAAATAAAGCGGGTGGTTGCATGGAGTTTGGCTTTTATACCAGCATGGGTTTGTCATGGGTAAATATTACAATGAATAATAGAGCTTCGCTACATCATGGCCCGCGGGTTGTACGAAGGGTGGATTAAGCGCTGTATCCGATGGATATATAGAGATTATCACTTGTTAAGAGCTTGATATCGTTTGTATTCACGAGTTTCCATATCATATCGCGAACAAGCGAGTCTGTCAGCGAGTCTGGAAAACGAGTGAATAAAGAAGATTTCAAGCTCCTAACATGTGGTAATTTGATTATTACACATTTAGGATCGATAAAATGGCAAAATTTAGTTTCCATTTCACCGTGAAGAGATATCGTATCTCTTCACTGGTATGGTTTTTATTCACGGCTTTATCACACTGATATCGACCCTAAATGTGTAATAAATCCTAATCCAGTGGATGAATTCATGATTTTATCCAAAAAAAGTTTCCACGGGATAGGATTTATCCGTCGAATAGCGCTACCACCCTTCGTACAACGAGTCTAAACCGGGCACAGGAGCGTAATAACTTACGTTATTGGTAGGGTAGACAAAGAAAGTGTTTGATGAGCATTTTTTTAATGTAAGTATATTCTCTATTACAGGTTATACTGGGGCTATGTTCACTGCGTCGCAGAAGGACAGGTTCGCGTAGATGAAGGATTCCTTATACTTTCGTCCGACCTCGTCAAAGAATTTGTCAGCAAAAAGGACAGTCTTCTGTGTCATCCGTACGGAGATCAAGCAGTAGCAATATGGCTAAATAACCGAACTGACATCACTCGCTTTCACGACCCAAGAGTAATTCACGACGTCACCGCTCATAACCCGCAGTTTAAAAGAGCAAACGAGCTTTGCAACACCTATCTTAGTCTGCATGGCAGCTACTTACACGAAAATCTGATCTATTGGGATATTGTACAGAAAGAAAGGCCTCAGGTCTGGCTGCCTTCAATACAACCTTTTGAAGAAGTCTGTAAATTTGGAACGCACTTTGATTGGAGAAAAATGGGAGGGTACCCATACGAGTGGGAACCCAAACCTTGCTCTTCGAATCCCACATGGAATACTGGACTTAAGATGCACTTAGGAAGAAATCAGATGTAACGATTTTATACTTTACAGCCTTCTTTCGAGATTAAGGAAAAGACTGGGTCGAGTTGAAATTGCAGTGCATTATGGGACGGACGGTTTGAGCGGATGAAAAGACGCCATATAGAAAACATATTTCCTAAAAACTGATTTTTTATCATAACGGCAATTCTGAGTGTGATTTTGAAATATGACGTTTTTTAATTGATAGATGAGTTTTTTTGAATTCAAGATATTTTTAATAATTTTAACTAAATCTAAGAATATAAAAAGACAAGACCTTTTATAATTTTTTTGAAATATTTTGAACTTTAAATTAAAAAAAAAAAATCAGTACACATAATTTTAACAGTAGGTTTTGTGACTTTGCTTTGTTGGATAGTCTAATAGATCTCGTAAGCCCGCCTATCTTTCGTCATTCTATTTTTTGTCAACTTGGTAACGGTTTGCGATTTGATAAAGCTTTTTTTTCTTGCGACAAAAATCGTCTCGATATTTAGTTATCAGTTTTTATTACGTTACCATTGTGTATGCCCCTCCCAGAGGTCCAAATGGTTAGAACCCTCCATTTGGTCCAACCTTATAATTTTTATGATTGTGTGTGCTTTTTATTTTATTTTTTTCATTTGTTGGTCTCGAAATCCAGAATTTCAAAAGGAAAAGTGAAACCTCAGCTTTGCTAACTTTCCTCGATGCTGGTTGCCTAACATTTTTTCTACAGCTGGAGTTTTAACGATCGGTTGAAAGTTCCTATATCTTCAACTCCTGTACTACCCTTGTTATCGTCTATCAACTATTTAGGATACAAGGACGGCAGAATCGGTTGCCATTTTGACCACCCACACACACCCCCTTCGTATGGTTTGGTGGTATAAGAACGTCACTGGGCGATACTGATCTTGGGGTGCAACCACATGACTCAAAACCCCTTGACATGTAAATAACAATGAACCAGCCACCATATTGGTTGATCTAACAAGAGAAGCTAATAAGGAATGCTTTGTTATCGTCAACCAAAATGGCGGCTATGACGTAACATGCACCCGGAATAATGTTGTTTTACTTTTACTTTACGGACAAGCTCTGTAGTCTTGGAAGTTCCGATTCTAGTTCATTGATACGGGCAGGGTCATGACCGGTCTGACGCTAGAAGAACAACAAGAACAAATATTATTATCAAAGATTCGAATTCATTCAAAAGTGAACACGAGCGCCACCCCTAAAATTTGCATTCGCGACTAAAAAGGGTTTTGTGAGCGCTAATCAAAGCGTTTCCATGGAATCTCTCTGATTTGGATCTACTAATACTAATACTTTAAAAGGGATGACAAATCTCACGAATGTTCCAGATAAAGCTTAAAACATAAGATGGAAATCTGGTTTACCTTTAATTTCTTTTTCACTATTGGTAGGACCGTTTCCAAGACAAATGCAGCATTCTTGAGAATAAATGGTCGCTAAAGAAGAGCAACATGATAATTGTTAAAGGTTTTCCAAGCACGCTCACAAGCTTTCTCACAGGAGTAATAACCGCTATGTAGAAGGAGTGTGCACAAAAAGCATTTAGTTACGGGGTTTTCCTATTACCCTGAAACGGAGGAGTTAATATTTTCTCAACCATTTTGAAGTTTTGGGTCTAAGATTATACATGACGTATACCTTGATTCCATTGAAGAGTATCTAATCATAATTCCACTACTCAAACCTAGAGCCGTGCTGCAACGAAATACCTATGTGTTTATAAATCAGGGAACCTCGCAACATAAAAAATCGCTTCTTACAATAACAAGGTCATTGGCATTAGCTATCATGATAGCTGACGGGTGGCCTTACCTGTCCAGAGAAGTTACTAGATTTCAGGGTATATTCAAACTGCATTACTTGATTTTTAAACAGATCGGCCACACACTCGACCAGTACGCTGTGCAACTGTTAAGAAAGGAAGACACATATGTATAAGCAATCAAAAGCAGCACATCCGGGATCTTGTAAGAGCTGCCATGGACGCGTGGAAGACTGGAAAGAAGCAAGCTTCGTTTGCACATGACGTCATAGCCGCCATCTTAGTTGAATTTAACAAAAGGTTTGTCAATGAATTCTTTTGTTATATCAACCAACATTTACGCCGAGTTTTTGTTATTTCACTCCCTTGGGAATGATTGAAAACCAGCAATTGGCTCAGCTTTCCAGCCGTTTTCGGAGTTTCGTGTGCCTATCGTACTCTATACTCTGTACCTCTGGTGTATTGACTCTCAATCCATCTTCTAGGAAACCAGTAATGCTTTTAGTAAAAGCGATTGTAGCACTAGCCAGGTTCACTTTATTATCACCTGAAGCAAACAAGAAAGGCCTTTGAAGCTTTGAGTTACACAGGAGGCCCATAGCAGATCAGATGATCGCAAAGTCCTGCTGGGTAATATTATTAGAAAACAAAAAATTTCCTGAGCGACATTTTGAGTTTACTGCACATCATGGGGAATGTAAGAAAATATACCAAGATACGAAAGGTATTTTTCGACCATTTACCAACAGGTAGCCCAGTAGTAAAAATTTTTAAACCGAACATTTATCGTTTGCTCTTACCTAGAATTAAGGTGTTAAAATCCTTTATTCCACAGCTTTCCATTTCGCAGATTAAGGTAGTCAGGTTTTCAAAATTCTGTGGGTGCCACAATTCTTCCTGTGTGAACATAAATAGGGTTAACAGTGGGTAGTGAATTAAGGTATACCATTCGTGTGATTATTTGTGTGTTAAAGACCGGAAAACCGGGAGGAAAAAACCCCGAAGGACAGGAGATAACCAACAAACAACTCTACTCACATACTACACAGGAGAGAACCAACAAACAACTCTACTCACATACTACACAGGAGAAAACCAGCAAGCAACTCTACACACATATGGCACCGAGTCCACGAATCGAACCCTGGTTGGCTTGGTGAGAGGCGAGCACTTTCACTTGCTAAGCCACCCTTGCTTCCCATATTTTTTTACATGGCTGCTGTGTAACACACCTTATTCAAACCCTAGGATTTTTTGAGGCCCTTGATATAGAGCGTTTTCACGTTTTCACGCGTTTTCACAGCGGCCATTCTGGGGTACCAAAACAATACATTTTCTATCCTCCGGGAATTGAACTCTATTTTTATGCAAAAACTGTGCAGAAAAATGTTTATGGCTGCCTTCTCACGTGTGTGAAAACGCTCTATATGCTTTATAATATCATGCGGCTCAAAAAAATCGCCATTCTAAAATTTAATCAAGTTTCATGGCACATACCACTGCCCTCTGTCTTGCAGCAGCTACCAACTGATCACGACAGTCAAACAGCGCCTCCATTAGATCCTTTAGTAACATATGCTGTATGGAAAACTTTAAATCCAGACCGATTTCATTGAGCTGAAATAAAAAGAACCACATTCAATATGAACATGAACACGAACAGGACTGGTTAATAGAGACTGCGGCACCGAGGGAAGAAATATTTGTTTAAAATGATACAAATTGCTAGTCTTAATACGGTCATCTATCAAAGAGCATCAAAATACCAAGGGAAAGAGCAAATTGCTGTTCAATTCCTGAACCTGCATCGACTTGATAGACTAAGCATGGTGTTTTCCCATATATATCAACTGACTGCCATCAAATATGAGGATGGTAAAGTCCGGTTTAGACGGTACGACTGATTTTCGCCTACAACTATCGTATACAACACCCTCGCGCTATCCTACAACTCGAGTCGTAGCATGTAAATCAAGCCTACAACTCGCCTACGACAGACGCGTGCAACACGAAAAGAGTCGTAGGATTTTAATACATGTTTTAAAAAGCTACGACAATCGTAGGTGTCATGGCGCGAGCGTGTTGTATACGATAGTTGTAGGCGAAAATCGTACCGTCTAATCGGCCTTAACCGTGGCAGCAAATGATTTTTGGCATGCATAGCTTTCCCCTTTTTTGGAAGAACTGCAGAGCAAAGTGCTACATTGAATGATGTTTCTCGAAAATAATCTTGACTTTGAAAATGAGAATGGTCGCGTTCATTAAAACCATTATAATCAGAACACCTCACCTTTTCACAGTTCTCTGATGCAATACCCACACACACACCCATGGCTCCAAGCCCAATGTTACGATGAAACACTTGACGAGAAAAACGTACTACAAAATTCTGTAACTCAGCGTTAGCCCACATCACAAAGGCTGAAATAAAAACATAGTCAGCATGAGCATGTCGATCAACAACACACATAAACCTTCGGTTCCGATTTTCGCGGAGCCGATAGAACGCTTTACCTTGGCCGTAATGTTCTGCCATTTCAGACCATGTGTCATTCTCTTGAGAATGAGATTTTTTACTAAGTTAAATCCATATTCATGTGCCTTCTCATGCTCAACCGTTAGAGAAAAGAACGATCATACTCTTGGGAATGACACGCGGTCTGAAATGGGAAAACATTACGTCCAAGGTAATTAAAGTCACTGGAGACCTTCAGGGGTATGTTTCGTTCAAAACTCTCTCTACGCAATACCGTTTTATTTTCTCACACAAAATTTGCCAACTTCAAGAGTTTTCCCACTTAGCCAAAAAAAATTTTCAAGAATGAAAAGTTATCTAGAATTGTACTTAGAAAATAAGATAAACTTTTAGAATCATAAGAACCGACCTGAGCAAAATCCCGAGTTACCAGCGAACACCTTTTGGAATTCTTTGCCTGTTTCGATAAGACTCGTGAAGAACACGTTGGACAGCTTGGTGATGTATAATGCAGTAGCTCCTTCGATCTTTAATTGCCTGTTTTCAAGACAAAAAAGATATCAGGAATTCATTGTCACACCTACGTTTATAATTACACCAACACATTTAAAACCTTAACCTAAAAGATAATACCTTACCTTAAACTTTGTTTGATCGCCTCACTTCTATTCTTCAGGAATAGTTGACAAGCCTATGATATACATAGATCAACATAGATTATCATAACTGTTACAGTGAACATACCAAATTAGTGAATTATACAAGTATAAAATCCCTAGAGTATCATTTCTTTGTTAAACGGTTGAACATGAGAAGACACATGAATATGGATGCAACTCAAACAAAGAATCTCATTCTCAAGAGAATGACACGTGGTAAAATCCTTACAGCTATAGATCTAATCCACTGTTTTCCCATTTCAGACCACATGTCATTCCCTAGAGTATCATTTCTTTGTTTAACGGTTGTACATGAGAAGACACATGAATATGGATACAACTCAAACAAAGCATCTTATTCTCAAGAGAATGAGTAAAACATTATGTCCAAGTGGATTCGGCTATAGGCTAGTACATGTTGAAACTCTGGGACCCATGCCAGAGAATAGACCCCTTGCAGCACTTTGGAATGCAGTTCAATCTGGGGGACAAAACAATAGGCTCCAATCCTTTTGAGATTGAAATTCTTTTGCTCTGTCCCCCTGATGGAGCTACTTTGACGTATATATTCTTCTATTGAAATATGTTGGAGTGGGGATTTTTACCTCTGCTCCCAAAATCAAGAGAATAATCGTACCTCCGAAGCTCTTCCAAGACGAACCAAGAGAGACACAGCACGTCGTGTAGCACGTGGTCCACCATGTAGCAAGATACTTTGGTGACAGTCAAGTTCCTCAATTAGTGCTTCGACTAGTTGTTTCACCCTGTGATCCACTCGAACCCTAAAAAAAATATTAAATGTTATAATTTTTCTGTGAATTTTGTTATTACCTGAGTTCCTATGTTCAAGCTAAGTGTGTGTCTGATTGTACCGATACTGATATCTACTAAAAGATATAATTTTTATTTTAATTATCTTACTGTAAAGCGCATCCAGGCTCTCAGGATGCGCTATATAAATACTCTTTTATTATCATTTTTATCATTACTGCCAAAAACGTTCAATTCATAGTTCCGACTCGGAAAATAGCGAAGCAGTCAGTTCAGCAGCAGTTTTCTTAGTGGAATTGTCCCACAAAGTATTCGTACTACAGGGCCGGATTACGAGTAAATTTTTATTTATTCTCTATTAGGAAACGAAACAAATGAAGCAATTTATGATTTATTTTAGGCCATCAGAGTTTTAAATTCTGAGATATTCTAGATAATTTGTTGAGCTTGTGGGACGGTCACTTTTGGGAGTCAGAACTATGAATAGCCCTTGAGCACGTCAATCCGACAAACCAGAAGCATTTCTATGAGCGTAGCATCAAAATGGTGGTATTAAAGCTGTACACATAAATCTTACTTAATTTCCTTTAGAGCTTGGCTGCTGGATGATTCTTTTAGGAACTGGTTCGCTGGGGGGAAAAGATGTACTGTTACAGTTTGACCAGAAAAACAATGAATACTGAAGAAATAGAAAGCATGCCCGCGTGCTGTGTGCAGTTATAAAGCACACGGGGGTTGGCAGAACACGATAGAAGTGTTAGGAGAAGCACGACGCGTAGCAGAGTGCTTCTTGACACTTCTCAAGTGATCTGCCAATCCCCAAGTGCTTTATAACTCCACACAGCACAGCAAGCAAGTTTTTTTACGACGTATAGCTGAATGCTTCTCAACACTTATCGAGTTTTCTGTCAATCCCCAAGTGCTTTATAACTCCACACAGCACAGCAATCAAGTTTTTGATTTCTTGTATAAAATACGAGTTACAAGAATGACGAAACTGAAAGTACGCGAGCGTCCTGTGTGCTCTCATAAAGCACACGCTCCCAACCAATCAGAACGCGAGATTTAAAACAGTTATTTTATAATTGACAATATCTGATACTCACTTTTATCTATTAGTTCCATAGCTTTTTCAAAGTCTCGTTGTGCAATACAAACATCTAGGTCCTCTGGTAGGTCTATCAGCCAGTTCTTTTCATTCTGTGACATGCACAGAAATAACAGTGTAATATCAAACTCTAACTCTATTTATGGTATTTTGTTAATTTTATCATCAATACAATATCTTTCCTCTCTAATACCAAAAGGTGAAATTTTCACATGTGAAGATAACATGAAGATTACATAATATCTTCACATAAAGATAACACCATTGGTAAGAATTCTTAGAGAAGCTAGAAAAACGCAAAACGTAAGAACTAGTCCTTCTGTTAATGTATATAGTTTATACTACTGGTTGGGTTTAATGCTACCTCTGTCAAAAATAGTTACTTATGACAATTATTACCTTTGCACTTTTTGTAGATGTGGCACTTGGTTTTGGTGTTATATCAACATTTGAACCTTAAATACAAAGTATGAAAATAATGATATTTGTGACACTGTTGGAACAATAGAGCAACTTGAAGATCATATGACTGAGAAAAAGCTCAGTGCCGAATGCGTGCTTTGCCATGATCTCCGCAAGGTGACGTGCTTCTCCTAACACTTTTCTCATGTTCTGCCAAAACCCGCATCCTTTAATTTATGACTACATGCTGCACACACGTGTGTTTTCTATTTTTTTATTATAATTATCTCTATATTCCATTTATCGATCAATCCCAATTTTTTTAACAGCTTTATTGGCCTTCAAATTTCTCAATGAACAAAATAAATAACATACACATTAAAGAAAAAATAACAATACAAGAAAGAAGGACCAAAAGGGTGGGAACGAAACGGGACCTAGAGTCCCATGAGAGGCACCTTCCAATTATCCATCAATCCATCCACATTAACCATCTACAGTACCCATCACATATTCTATTTATTATAACAATCAATCCATCCATCCACATTAACCATCCATCCATTCCATTTCATCCATCTACCCATTCATGCATTCATATTTATATTCATCATCTTTATTGATCGACTGTGTCACATTTATTGAGAGGTTCAAGACTCATTTTAAAAGCATGGAATATAAGAAAACAGTTTCATTGCTTTACCTTTGTTTTCATCATCTAGGAAAGGATTGCCTAAATCACCATTAGAAGAAGCAAAAGGATTCAAATCATCATCTTTGAATGGATTCTTGTCATCATCATAATTAAAGGGGTTAAGCTGGTTGTCGTAACCTGAAAAGGAGTTCTGGTGGCTTGTGCGGCGATCTTGGGTTGTGTCATGTACCTCTTGCTCAAGCTTAAGTTTGAAATTCTTTTTACAGTCTTCAATGTTTGATAGCCACTCATTCTGAAAAGAAAGCAGAGAATGTGTAGTTCCAGAAATTATCCATACCCACCCCACAGAGGAATTTGGAATTTCTGAAGAGTAGGGGGGTCAGAGAAAGAACAAAAATTACAGAGTTTATATTGAAGAAAACTGGAATTTCTGGGGGTGGGGTGTCTTAAAAAAATTCCTCCACGAGGGGGTTATGGATAATTTTTGGAATATACAATTGTTCATGAACTGCACCAAAATTGTGGAGAAATCTCCCTCTTGTAATACTCTTGCTCAGGGTTAGCCTTGATTTTGTGTAGAATATTCCTGTGTTCCAGTGGAGGTCCTTGGAATTTCAAGGTGTTTAAATTGTTGTAGTTGTGCATTCTTTACTTTACTGTTGGTATTTTTGAATATAGAGACACTGATTCAAAGTTAACCCTGAGTAAATGAATATGTAATAAAGGAACACAGCTGCAGTAATTTGGAACTCCAAAATGGTCTATCAAACGGAGCTCCAAGTCTAGTCATTCTCTTAAATCTCAACTTAAGACATTTTTGTTTAGAGGATGACTGTGAAGAGTTTTATGGTCCTGATATAAAGTCATGTTCATTTACATAAACTTTAATCTTGTATGTTTTTAAGCAGATTTTTATCTTGAATTTTAGTCAAACACAAAACAGCTAACCTAATATTTGATATACGAGCCATATTACAATATCAGTGTCCAAAAAACTCTTACATACAGCTTGGGTTTGTATTATTGTATATCATTACAACACAGCCACTCATATTGAATATGCAATATACTATATTTATAGAAATCAGTCACCAAGGTGAAGTCTGTAAATCGGATACAGAATCGTCCTAATTTGCATCTAACTTTTATTAAAACATTTTTTTTTTTATGTTCAGACTAACATAAATCTTAAAAATTTTAGTAGAACATGAAATTATACTTACTTTTAACTGTGCATTTTCTGTTTGATATATGTGAGTCTCTGGGAAGAGCAAAATCTTAAAGGCATCTTTAACACCTTTAGGGGAAGACAAAATATTAGCAGTAGTGGACTATAGTATACTACGTATGATACCATGTTTCTTCTCATGCACATGCATTGAACAAAGAACTGATACTAGGAAATGATATATCATGGTCTGAATTGAAAAACTGGCAAGGAGGCAAACCAGTTGGCTATTTACAAGCATGGTCGAGAAACTGAATTTGAACTAATCAGAAACCAGGACAAATACAGTCTCAGTTAGTGGCCACAGCAGGACTCGAACTCAGCATCATCGAATTGCAAGACCGATGATATGAACACTCGACCATGCTGCCTCCTTATTCCCTCTTGTACCCTTCCCCACAGCACCCCCACCACCATTCCTCATCCCTACGCAGGCTATTGACAACTGACTATTACATAGAGGTGGACTGTTAATTAATAATAGATTAATGCTTACCAATTAACCTTGAACTAACCTTCTGAGTTCTTGACATTAACCACAGCAATATTTTCAAGTTCATATAGTGACTGAAATTTATATCTTACAGGACCACGCCTATGGGTCAAAAATATGATGGTCAGGTCAAACAAAAAAATAAGTGTGTTTCCTGTGGCATGAGAAAAATAACTGGGGTTGGTAGGAAGGATATTTTTTAATGATACAACAGTGGAAATAACTGGAGCTTACTGGGAACCCTGTGGTGCATTTGGGAATGAAAAAATATTAGGGTCGGCAAAAATCAGCAAGAAAATAAGGGTCGGTCATGCAACAGGAAACACACTTATTTTTTTGTTTGGCCTCAGCAAAAAATAGACAAGACAATGTCTTTACGCAGTACTAACACAACTGATAATTACAGTTAAATACTTGAGTTAGATATATATTTTAATTTTATGAATAATTTCATAATTGCTGGAGAGTAGCGAAAGCCATCAACAACCTTTCACAAGCTTGTTCTCTTTGTCATTAAGTAAAAGGACCAGGAAAAAAGTATTGAGGAAAGCACAGAAGAAATGAGAAGAAAAACACTGGCTGTATAGTGTTTTCAATGTGTAGTTCCAGAAAATATGCATACCCTACCCACAGAGGAAATTGGAAATTTTGGAGGGAAGGGGAGTCAGAGAAAGAGCAAAAATACAGAGTTTGTATGAAAGAAAGGAATTGGAAGTTCCTGGGGGGTAGGGGGTCCTTTTACAAATTCCCCTTTGTGGTAGGGTATAGATATTTTCTGGAACTACGCAATGCTGTTTTAGACTTCTTTGCAAAGGTTGTTGTATTCACAGACAGGTGTTAGATGCTGTGTTTACTAATACAGCACAGTTTTTGACCAATCAAAATGCATGTAGCAAGCTATCTGCGATATAATAATGTAATTAATTAACATATTTATATCATACTCAATTCTACCTGTTGGGAATAGAGCTGGCAATGACCATACAGTCATGGAGGAGAAAAGCATGGACTTTTTGTTTGGGTTGATATGAGAAAGGGTTAACTTCCAGGAGACTTCCTTCATAGATACACTGAAGATCTGTTACATCTAAAATACTCTGTAAAACAGATATCAAGGAAATGAATGTCAGAGTATAGATGGATTACATCATGCTGAAGAATGAATTCATGAATGAGTGAATAAAGTCACATAGTTATATTATAGTTTATTTATTGTCTATTTAGTTTCACTCACTGAAAGTCCCTCAACAGCTTCAATCGAGCTACTTGTCTTTTCTTCCTTCTTTAGGGGCTTGCTTGTTGAATTTGTTTCTAAACACAGGAGAATGGAAAAGATTGAAATAAAATAAAAGAGGAGTTAATACACTTTAACTCCTGCCAAGATAGGCCTGCGTAGCAATGCTTTGAAGAGAGGTGAGAGGAGGGGAGGAGGAAGGTGAGGGGGAGTGGTGAGGTGTTCCCCTCCCCTTTGCGCTCCCCTCCCCCTCCCCTTTGCCCTCCCCTCCCCCTCCCCCAAAGCACTGTTATGCAAGCTAGCTAAGATATACAATAAACTTTTTAGGAAAATCTTTAGATTGAATTCTCAACAGAGTTTAAATTGGAGTAGATGGGAGTGGAGTTTCAGCACTTCTCTAGGACTATATATTTTCTGGGTTTTCCATCAGTTTTATTTCCTCTACAAAAATCTTACTTTTCAGAGAAAGAAAGTATGTAGTAGAACAAGGGCACTAGGACACCAAATATGGTTGGATTTCTATAGGTTTTTTCCCCTTTCGATTATTTGAATTAAATTAACGTTAGATACTTGTTTACTTATCTTGTGTTCGTGTTCCTTCGTTGTCTTCGTTCGCTGTTGTAGTGCAGACGTTTTCATTCCAAAGGTCAAACGGTTTGAATAGCCTACGAGCGTTACTTCTTTAACAGCCATTCCGTACTTGACTCTGTTTGTACTATACCAACAACAACGCGACCGCGCGATGCTCCTTACGTCAGTAATATTCAACCGTCAGTYAATATGGTTAATCAAATTCACCTTAAGTTCTATATAGAGTACCGGGGTAGGCTACTAGCCTGCTTGCCATTGTTCTCTCGTCTGCTCGCTTAATCCAATTATTTTGAAAGGTGGGGTGGCAGTGTGTTTACACAGCGATGACAGATGCAGCACCAACGCTACTGTACGAACCACTGTCGAGCCTAGACTGGGGTAACACGATCTCCCTCGGCATTAGTAGTATTTTTGGCATCAGTAACATTTTCGCTTCAATTGCAAAGAAAGTTACTAACTCTCCTTAGAATATTAGAGTCCAATTAGAGGGAAGCATATCTTGAACCCAGGGTACTGTTTACGAAATGAAATGTAACTTTTCTATACCTCAACGATCAGACAGTTACAGTTCAAAAATATTAATATCGACCAGTAGGTCATTTTAGGTCACGCTCACGTTGACTGGACGTGTGCAAGCAAGTAAACAAATGAAGATTAGATAGCAATTACGAAATATCGTACAAATAATTCCTTTATTGTAGTTTATGATACAAAAGGGGAAGTTTCTTTGAGTAAAAGTTGTCGCATGAGAGTGGGGATTTCAGTGTGTGTGGTAATAGCGTGTTGTAGTTCATCGATGGTACTTAAATCTCTAGTGTCCTGTAGTGTATTTAAAAGTTATGGAGTCCGTGATCTGGTAGTCACGTCTTCCGGTTCGAATTACTAGCGTTCGGGGCCGAGTGTGGGCCGAGGGAGATCGTGTTACCCCAGTCTAGGCTCG